GCACGTATTTTATGCCCTGCTGTCCTTTTAAGAACTGCGCGAATATTAGATGCTCTTCTTGCTGAGGGTCTTCTGGCCGGATAATTCTCAAGCTGCTGTCTGGCCTCTTCAACAAAATAGTCCAGTATAAATCCTATATATTCTCTGAAGATTTTCTGAGAACTTATTGTTTTCGGCACTAATTTTTTTGTATTTATTTGGCACATGATTTTATCAACAGCCGCACTTTCTTGGAATCCATTGCTACTACTTCTCGAGGTTCAAAAGATGTAACCTTGGCAAAGTAACCAACGCTCAATGCTTTCTATATTACACTCATTTTGTCGCTCCAGAACTCAGTTAGACCGACCTAATGACTCAGCTTTATTCTGCATACATGTGTTACCCATTTGTTTACCCATGTATTATGTGTATATTCCACTGACTCGAATGACTTTTTGTTTCAGTGCAAATCCATGGCCAAAATGGACCGGTGTGATGCACGGCTATGAGATTGAGTACGTATTTGGAGTGCCGATCTATAATGAGAGCGCCAAGTACACGAAACGAGAACAAGTTCTGTCAGAAAAGATTATCCAGTACTGGAGTTCGTTTGCCACGACGGGGTTAGCAGCTTGAAACTCACCGAAGTTGTCATTTGAATGAAAAGCCCACTATTTAGGGTTCCTCGTCTGAAAGACGCTAAGTCAACCGATATCTGGCCAGAATACGACGGTGTCAACAATACGAGGTAACTATTAAGCGTTGAGTATTAAAGGATAATAAAGGGATAAAGTCTTCGCTGTTGATCAATCCCTTGGTGGGATGCGGCACGCATTCTACTTCCATTCAGAACCGTAGTGGCTTATTGAATGAATGTGGCCTACACAATAACTTGCGGGCCGACCCGATGTACAAGTCAGTGTTCTTATCTCCGATGGACAAAACTGGTCAAGCGCGATCCTGGGTGGTAGCCGACCGGGATTTGAGCCCGGGACCGGCGCGAGTGATGAGCGCGCACCATCACTGCACAGCTCCGCCTCCACCGCTTGGTTATCAACTCAAAGAAATTACCTCGAAGAACGGCGCCATATCGCGGCTCCTGCTGGATGCAGACGCATCTCTTGATGACGCATTCCGCGTTAATCGCGGGGCGGAGTCACTTCGCCAGCTGCGCTATGCCCATTGCTGCAATCACCGCTGCATCGCCGGGTTGGGGCGCTCCTCTCATAAAAGGACGGCCGCACCAAATGGCGATGCAAAGGGGAGCGGGATGCACCTCTAAATTTGTTTCGTAGTTGACCCACCAGCGGCTTGCTCGTCAAAGCTTTCAATACTTCCAATTTGGCCCTTCTTATTCCCTGGGAAAACGACTGTTCGTGTAGGACTCTCGCAGTACTACTGATTAAAGATCTTTACAGGTGGATGCTGCTAAAGGGTGGATCTCATGTAAAGCCAACGCCGTCTCGGAAAAAGGTCGAATGCGACCTGTGGAGGACAGCTAAAGACATGGAATATCATGCTTACCGTATGCTTTGCCACTTTCAAATTTTTTTAACCTTCTGGAAGTTTCAACTTTTTGAATCTTTTCAGGAAACGAATTGCAACTTTCATCAGCCTTCCAAATTTCACTGACGTCGGTTTTAGTCGTACTTATACTCTCATAGCCCATTAGCTAGTGGAGATGAGCCATTTCAACACAGTCACATTCCCTTTTCAAGACCAGTTTCGCATTCTTTGAGAATCTCACAGTTCATATCATAGTGTGATTACGTGAATATGAGTTAGACATGGCCCATATCATGGCTCCTGGAGGGGGCGTGTCCACGGACTCAGTTCTGGATGCGGCAACAATGTTACCTATACTCTATCATGGACACGCTTGGTCTCAACTCTACCATATGCATATACCCCACTCACCACTGAGTCCGTGGGCCCGTCCTGCACTAGTGACGTGGTATGGCTGTTCAAGCACTCAAAAAAGAACAACTAGCTCTAAAATATTCTGCTTGCGAAGAATTTCTAGAAATCGCTAGGGTCGAAATTTTCTCAAATATTCGTGAGGACAAAGGCAATGGTCAATCAAAACTGAGCGTGAAGAGTATGCACCAATTGCAAGGAAACTGTTCGTGAACGCGAATTTTGAGTCTCCCACTGCTCAAACCCGATGAGAGGCGACTTAGTCGTGGCACACGCGACATTTGTTAACTAGTCAACCTCGAGAGCTGTATCTCTCTTCGTTGTATTGAAGGGCCCTGGTAAGCGAATAGGAGGGTCTGCTTTAGTCTTACCTACGCCCTTACACGTCTCACCTCCTGACATTCTCTCAAACCGATGTGATGTGATTCCATCAGCTCTGAAAATTGACTTGTCCTTGCCTTTAGGCCGCTGTCAAACAAAGAAACAAAATCCATTCTGTCATTCTCTTGTATATCTGCCTCGTTAAGCTGCCTTCAGACTTCGTGATGACGCGTGTCGGTGCGCTACCGTTGCAACCGCGCTCTGATGCTAAACTGGAACGCAGCCACAGACGCGTATCGATCGGCGCGGGGCTAGTGTTCTGAGAGAAACAGGAGAATAGGAGGGTAGCAGACCGACAGTGTGGTTGGGCGGTAAATGAAATAGTAAATAATAAGATTTTAATAAAAATTTACATAGTGTTTTGATTGTTAGATTCCTTACTACACTTTTCTTATCTAAGTTTAGAGGGGGGGGGTGACTCAAAGAAGTAGCTTAGTTTCCGTTTCGCACGTGCCCTTAGACGGAAACCAAGCAGTTTGTAATATCCTCCTTCTGTGCTCATCAGTAAGGGAAAGGAGGAATAAGGTGTTGTGATAATTTAATCCTTACATTCTATAAACCACTAACTCTGTGTGTCGGTTTGTCGGTATGTATGTATGTATGTATGTATGTATGTCCGTCCGCAAAATGCTTCACGGGTTCAAACACGTCAGTGTAGGAGAAACCAGTTGGTGCAGATGTATCAATCCAATGTTTTGATTGTGATAACACCCTGCACTATATAAGAGAACCATGTAGTGCACTCCAAACCATTGCACGAGCTGCTCGCGTGGCAGGTGGACGTGAGCAGGGATGGGAAAGTGGAGTGGGGAAGGTATAATGTGGGTGGGATTAGTGAGGGAGAGTACGGGAGGGGAAGCATAGAGTGCGTTTAGTAGAAACTCATCACAAGTGTGGTAATAAAAGCGCCAATGAAAGCGATAAGGTGAATAGAGGAAGGATCAACCGCTAGCAGAGTCGCGAATAAAATCCATGTTTTGGTATCACTTTGAGGCAATGTGTGATTGTTTACAACCTCACTATGTAAAAGAATCATGTAGTGCACTATAAGTGAGCTACTCGTATGAACATATTGGTCAAAGATTGTTGACTATCTGTATAAAAGAAAAGCCGGTGAGGAGAAAGATAAGCGCGGCGGAGCCGGGCCCGCTCAGCAAATCCATTCTTTATCTCAGAAGAAGGCGTGCAGGCATCAGCCGGCAAAGCCGGCTGGTATTATATGAATATACTTCGTTCTTGTTTGTACGAAATTTACTTGTTCAAATTTCATGTTTCATATGTAGCTTTTTCTGTTACATAAACATATTTACACACAATACGCAAAAATCTACGTATGTGCAAACGCAACAGAAAGAAACGTTCCAATTGTTAATTAAATTTTGAAATTTTTCGAAATTCTGAACTCACCGGTTCTCCTCCGTGAACCATTTATGATGTTGAATAAGTAAAAATAAGTCCATACGTTGTTTTCAATAATAGGAGTATAAGGGCTTATCAACTAACAATAGTCTGAGTTCATTTTTGTTTTGGATTGTTTGCAAATTTTCTTATCACCGCTCTTGAGATTATTTGAATACAAATGTTAGTAAAGTCTGCAAAACCGTCGCAAAACAGCAACATTACTATTTTACTGCCCCTAATCACTCATTCTGGGATCCTGTTATTTTCCTACACTTCCCCAGAGCACGACCAGCATTGATCGATACCCGTCCATGGCTTTGTTCCCGTCATAGCATGACGACGCGACCGCAGCAGTAGCGCGTCTATGTGCGTCATCTCTAAGTCTGGCAGCTTTACCATTTGAATTTTTACCTTAGTATTGCCCGTTAAGGCTGTATAGATTCTTATTCTTTGATAATAGGTGACGTTTTCACTTTTAGAAATAATCAGTAACGTATTGGAGAGTCTATCCAATGTCTTCGTAACTTGTACATATTCTAGTACCACTAGCCATTCGAGTGCAGAGGGTCGTGTAGGAGATCTTCTACTCGTCTTCATTACCACATATCATGGTATATAGATATATGATATATGTAAGAGTATGATCGTGATCTTGAATTCTTGCCAGTGTTCATTTTTTGTTATTCTAATGAATTCGTAAAATAATCGTTACTCTGGTGGAATTGTTCATACGGAAGAACAAAACGCTCAAAATCAAGAAGTGGAAAATAGAAGTGCGTAGGTCGCTCGCTGGCAAGGAGAGAAGCTTTCAATTATGCGGGAGCTAATCCTCATGCGGTTCTTATAGGAGGCAGATAGGAGCATCCCTGAGCACGAATGAGGACGCCTGTTAGGGTGTGTGTAAGAGAGGATAACCGGGGCGGCATCAAGCAAACGTTGCATGGCATACTTGTAATAAAGACGCCGCCCCCCCCCACTCAGTTTGACCCTCCAATATGATCTGCTTGAAGTGCATCTTTCCTATTAAGACTAGCAATACGATCGCTTCGGAAACTCCCATTGATGTGCTTCCAATGAGACTCTCCCAAGTTTGTGGATTGTGCGCGTGAAACAGGAAAAAAAAAAAATCAACCATCAGAAAAAATTTCTCAGGCCAAGTGCAACTC